TTGTTAAGTAGCACCATTAGCTCCATAGTAAACTCGCCATATTTTAAAAAAAAAACTTTTTTTTTTCTCACCAGTTTATTATCCATTTCCACCTCTAGTACTCCCACCCACCCTTTGCAGTGTAGCGAGACTGAGTGATACATATGATGGTGGGGGTAATAAATTCCCAGATATGTTCGCCGGAATACACAATTGATTATATCTACTTAATAGGCACGAGTTCAATAGTTTGATCGCCCCAAGATTCATATACAATACAAGACGCAAAGTACACATATATAACATCCATTACCAGTCCGGGATTATACCGGGCATCTAAGCCTTTTTTAAATAATTGTGTGCAACTTTGCTACACTGAGTATTAAAGAGGTGTTAGGTAAGAGCTAAATCTTCCTATGGCACATGTTGTTTCTGGCTTAAAGTCATTATTTAGATATTTATTCACTTGATAAGCCTAAGCCTAAGCCTATAGATCATCGGATGGTGTATTAAATCGGACTAAGCCTTGGTTGTACATTACCATTGTGACGATAATAAACGATCTACGCTAAATCTTCGAACAGTCCTAATTTCTCCTATTTTAAAAGTTTAGTTATACCACTGGGTACCACTGGTCAGGTCTAAATATTATCGTCAAGTTAACATTTAGTCAAGGTCGGGCATTTATGGCAAGGTTTGGGGCATTTGTGTGGAAATTTTCACCCTATGATTTTCTACTTCAATAATTTTCATAGAATGTTTTGGTCTGTGGCGTTTCTCACCACAAGAGTTCCACAAGATAATGGACATAAAAAGCAAACTTTTCTTTAAAATTTCTTTTCAGACCTTTTTGCTTTTACATTTAGGAATAATTTTAACTTTTAATTAGTCTTCAAAAATCCACCAAATTTTAAATTCATTTAGCTTCCTATACCTTAATATTTTATGGGAAATAAAAGACAATCTGGGGTAATACATATTCTTCCCATTCATTAATTCAAAATAAAGTACACCCATTAATTTCCGGGAAAATAATACACATATCAATATCTATACTTATGTTTATGACTGTCGTTTGTTTGTCTGTCTGTTCAGGGATGACGTCTACACTAAGGCTGTCCTGAGGCTGGAAGTTGGTGTATAGGGGTAGTTCGGACCTGGTAATAACATAGGCATAGTGGCGATGGACTACGACTTCCGGTTTCGGGGTTATGCTATTTCCGGTTCATGGCAATACTCGTGCTACGCCCGGTCAACCGCTAGTATTTAATAGGAGGATAAACCCTTATAAGTCAAGTAGCTTAAGAACAGATCTTGGACGGATGTGAGTGGTAAGAGGGAAATTTTGCACGGACACCGGCGCTACAGCCTACTCTTATAACAAATTCCAACTACAAAGGTTCTTTCACGTGTACGCCAATGTGACCACGGGCCTCGTTTTTGTCCCATCTATGCCACGCTCTCCATGCTGCACAACATATGCATATCAGGTTGTAGCCATAATACAAGCCTCCGTCGTCTCTCGACTCTAATGCAGATATTTTAAGAAGAAAAGGTGTTATCAACAGCTTTATTAGTATTTAGCCACTATTAACAAGATGTAATACATATTAGTATCCGTCATTAAAACTAAACATCATATAATATTATCTAATAATATGGGGAGATATTGGCTTAACGTCACACTAATTATATTAACAGCGAGAGTTGGATATCATTTTTGCGGGGTGGCGGGTCGCACTTAACCCGGGTCATAGATGACTCGGGTGATCAAGGATGGGTAACTTAATTGCTTCAGTGACGAGAATAGCTAAGTTAGCAATGAAATTCTGCGCATTTTTCAAATAGAATACAATACTCAGAAAGTAATGCAAGAATCTGATAATAATAATAATAATAATAATAATAATAATAATAATAATAACAAAAAAGAAAAACTTATTGCTTCAGTGGCGAAAAATGCTACCTCAGCAATAATATTTTTAAAGTTAATATTTCGGGCATACTTCATCTATAATACAATACTAAAAATAAATGAGAGAATCTGGTAATAAAGACAGTAGGGTCTTAAGCTGTGGTGAGAGGTGGAGAAAACCCACGAGGTTGGATAAGCGACCCTACTTCTCGTCAGTACGAACTTGGGATCGAAACCACGCCAATCTACTCAATGACAGGCCTTATAATCTAAAGCATACATATTCGAAAACCACCCACACCCTTTCCATGTTTCATAATGAAAGAAAAGTGAAGCATCATGAACTTATTAGGGTGATATAAATATTATTTTCTTGTCTTTATGTTTCTTTGGCGATATCTTCTCGGTTTCTGTTTTACGGCGTCGTTTATAGCACCAGGCAAAGATTCGTGATATATCTAGAAATATGAAACCACTAAATAGTATAATAATTACTAGAACCGAGCTGAATCCTAAGTTCGCTTCTGATTGGCTAATATTTGCACTGCTTTGTTTTATTCGCTTAGTCCTTGATAATTTGTCTTTTTCAACATGAAGATACTTCTGCTGAATTTGAGCATACATTAAAGAGTCTGAAATAGTTCGTTTTCTTTTGACACAGGGACAAGTGCACAAACAGTGTGCGCCAGAGCAAGGTTTTGGTAGGGTTGGCATTTTAGCAGCTGGTGGTTTTTCGGTGGTTTGAAGTTCAGTGGTTGTTGGCGAGTCTGTCGAATGCTCTGTTGTGGGTGATTCAGTCGAGGGTACCGCTGTTGTTGGTTCAGTGGTAGGCGGGTAAGCGGTAATGGGGTCCGTGGTTGGTGGGTCAGTGGTAATGAGGTCCGTGGTTTGCGCGTCAGTGGTAATGGGGTCCGTGGTTGGCCGATCAGTGGTAATGGGGTCCGTGGTTGGAGAGTAAGTGGTAATGGGGTCCGTGTTTGGTGGGTCAGTGGTAGGGGGGTCTGTGGTTGGCGGATCAGTAGTAGTGGGGTCAGTGGTAATGAGGTCCGTGGTTTGCGCGTCTGTGGTAATGCGGTCCGTGGTTGGCGGATCAGTGGTAATGGGATCCGTGGTTGGAGAGTACGTGGTAATGGGGTCCGTGGTTGGTGGGTCAGTGGTAATGGGGTCAGTGGTAATGAGGTCCGTGGTTTGCGCGTCAGTGGTAATGGGGTCCGTGGTTGGCGGATCAGTGGTAATGGGGTCCGTCGTTGGAGAGTAAGTGGTAATGGGATCCGTGGTTGGCGGGTCAGTGGTAATGGGGTCCGTGGTTGGTGGTTCAGTGGTAGTGGGGTCAGTTGTTGGCGTATCAGTGGTAGTGGGGACCGTGATTGGCGGCTCAGTGGTAGTGGGGTCAGTGGTTGGCGTATCAGTGGTAGTGGGGTCCGTGGTTGGCGGGTCAGTGGTAGTGGGGACCGTGATTGGCGGCTCAGTGGTTACAGGTTGAGTTGTAAGTGATTGTGTTGTAGGATCTGCATAAAGAGAGGAAAATATCAGATAATTTCAAACGTTAAATTATTTTTTTGATTTTAACTAATATTTTACGAATATACAGTTCAAGTATCATCAAATGCATATTCCGTTTCGTTTTTATAGTGTTAACATAATTCCAATCCAGCTGGCGCTTCGAGAACGTCGCATGGGTTGATAACGAACGAAAATGAAATGGGGTTTAACGTCCTACTGCTCCTAAACAGTGTGCTATGAGGGAAATTTTTCCCGGGCAGCGGCACTACGGCATACTCTTATATCGAATTCCAACTGCCAAGGGATCTTTTACGTGCACGCCAATGTGTACACGGGACCTCGGTTTTTCGTCCCATCCGAACGACTAGACAGCTGTCCTTGTCAGGCCCTCCGTCCTGCATCACTGACAAGGGGAAACCACGCTGGAAAATCTGAATGAACTTTCTCGGCCAATGCAGAGTTCGAACACCCGACCTCCAGGCTAGCGAGCCAGCGTCTTACCCACTTAGCCACGTGATCCCCTCTAACGAACGAACAATAATGGTTGGAGCATTTGCAGTGGAAGCAGATTATAGACCCCTTTAATTATACATTCATACATAAGCAGCAATATTACCCCAGGCTCAGAGCATCTGATTTTTATCAAATTATCACCCCCTCAACCTAACGCCAAACTTGACGTGGTCTCCACCTTAAACACCCCTACGGTCAAATTCATTGCCTACATTATCAATCCAAATGCTGTTTAGACATGATAAATGTAGAGCGTGGAATAAGAAACGAATCAGATAATTAAAAATCGATTGATAATCCTTACCATCAAAAGATGTCATTCTCATACCAGCAGGAAAACCATAAGCTCCTCTATTTTCATACCCATAAAGCAGGATAGCGAATGGCTTGGTTGAGCTGAAAGTTTTTACGTTGTTGACCAATCCGGTTTTCACAACATAATCACAATTAGCTATTATTTGGAAATCCGAAACACTTGGTGAAATATAATTTGTATCATCCCTGTGCACGATCATCATGGCTTTATTTGTGTAATATCCTATAATATCACCTTTAAAAACGTACTCTGTCGTATATTTGTTGATAGGTGGGATTAACATTAGGAACGCATCGCCATCGTATGTATCATCATGATTAACGTCATTTCTTCCAATTATAGATAAAACAACCAAAACCGGGTTATTGCTGGTGAAACAAAACACATCTGATTGTGACAAAGAAACATCGATGTACGTTCTAGAACCTATGTTATAATTGGTTCCTTTGATATAAAAACTAGTTCCATCGTACAATGCAACAACCCGTAAAATTGAGCCATACCTTTGTCCTGAAGGGGCAGGTACAACAAATTCCTTGCCAAATTCTGCTACAGGGGGTAGCATCTCTACAACGTGATCACAGAGTGCCAGATCTGGTAATTCGGCACACCTGTTACCGCTTAAAACTGCAATTGGTTTGTTTGATTCTACGAGCGATCCTGTTGTTTCTCTCGAGCAATAAATATTGACCACGTCATGAGACATCATAGTATATTCAAGCACGGCTCCATCATTATAAGAATACCAGTTGCCATTTTTCCGACACTCATTACCCGTTCCCGTTTTCAGGGTGACTTTTACATTAGTATTGTCTTGAACTGCCACAATAACTATCTGAGCTGAAACATGAAGTGGAATATGTTACATGTGATTATTGAAAAGAATAACTTATTACACTTGTTATTTATATTCTTACATGTGCACATATGCCTGACGAATGGCTCGAGAAATCCCTCCCGGGATTGGGTCTAATCAAACGAAACACTGCGAGGAGTATGACATGTACAATGCGAGACCTGAGGTGGGGGTATGCTTCCTCGTGTTTAATAGTAAGTGCAAGGGGGCTGCACCACACACAATTACACAAAACAAATCTACGGACAAAACACAATAGACAGAAATCACAGTTGGCAGCTTCTTCAATATAAAAGGTTCGGGATTAATCGGAACCGGCAAATATAGAAAAAAAACTACGAGAACTTACAGTGATCATCATCAATATTGACTGTCATATATTCCATTCCTAGAGACGGTGTTGGTAATGCTAGAAATCCATCCGCTGACCTAAACACATAACTGAGACCGTACACGGACACTTTAGCAGTTGATTCCACTGTTATCGCCTTGTTCGTTAAAACTTCGAGATATGGAGAGGCTGTAGCAACAAATCCAAAGTTTTCTGTACGTGACTGGCCAGTAAGCAGCTGAAAAATCCGAGTGTCTCCGGCTCCCTCATGAAAGGTAATAGTTACATCAGTTAGCTCTCTCGCTGTGACAACGACACTGTTGACTACACCATCAATATTTCTCAGAAATGTCAGGACAAAATGGGTTCCCCACTGATCCATCTCCAGACCTTAAAAGAATTCATCCTTTGATAAGTAAATTTGATTAAGGCTTTTTGCTGGACAAGTACATGCGTACAACAAAAGCTTGTAAGCTGCTCTGCAAACACCCAATTTTTAAATTTATGTGACTTTTCCTGTGCAAATTTGTTGTTATTTCTAAATTTATCTTTTATATAGATGACACAGAGGGGTTTTAATTTGCAAGAGGTCTGCGAAATGATAGACCTGAGTGGGGATGAACACACCGATGATGAATCAGACATCGAAGATTCATTAGTTGTGGAAGCCAAGCAAGATGATGAGTCTGGAGAATCCGAAGAGCAAAACCCAGGAGCAGTTGCTTCTTCATCAACCCCTAAGAATGCAGATCATGTGTTTAAACCAAAGTGGAGGGGAAGAGATTGTCAGCGAAAAGCTGATGATTTCAGAGGCCATGGAGGTACTATACGTTCAGTATTTTAAATCAGGACCGAATTTACCTACGTATGGATCCTAGGTTAAACTCAGTGGGCACCCAGATTTATAGAAATCTTGGCATATTAGTTACAGTGGGCCACTAGATACCCTTGGGCCATATGCCAAATAAATATTGGTTCCAGTAATTGCATATATTTAGTTAAATATCAAAATAGAATTGTATAATACAGGTATTTTGATTATATCATGTATTTCTAGGTGCAGTTGCCCAAAAGTTTGAAGACTGTTTAACTGCTGGAGATTATTTTTTGAAGTTCTTAGATGAAAGTTTGCGAGAACATATCCTGTATCAAACGAATTTGTATGCTGTCCAGAAATCAACTAAAATTAAGCCAGTTACAGATAGGGAACTTTTAGGTTTCATTGGAATTAATTTTTTAATGGGATGCAATCGGTTGCCATCCTTGAGGGATTACTGGAAGTCTGCTGATGATTTGGGTTTACCGTTTGTTTCATCATGCATGTCTAGAAACAGATTTCGTGAAATCTTGTCTAACCTACATATATAATGGTGCTTTACCCCGAGTTAATGATGATAAAATGTACAAAATAAGGCCACTAATATCGGGATTAAATTCAAATTATGTGAAGTTGTATGATGTTTCTAGACAAATATCCATAGACGAGAGCATGATTTTGTTTAAGGGTAGGGGTAGTCTAAAACAGCACAACCCCATGAAACCAATAAAACGTGGGTTAAAATTGTGGGTAAGAGCAGATATGAATGGATATATATCAAAATTGTATGTTTATCAGGGTCGGTTTGGTGCTGAAACTTTAGTTGAAGATGAGCAATGGAATTTTGGCTTGGGCGAAAAGGTTGTAATATCTTTATTATCTGATCTGTTTTGTAAAAATCATGATGTATATTTTGATAATTATTTCTGTTCAGTTCCACTTATGGAATATTTAAGAATAAAAGGTGCATTTGCCTGTGGTACTGTAAGAAAGAATCGTAAATATCTTCCAGATAATATGAGGCCCGATAAGAATCTACAACGCGGAGATTTTGATTACAGAGTGTCTGAAAATGATATCGTTTACTTTTAAACGATGGATGGATAACAAAGCTGTCCATTTAATCTCTAATTTTCATGGAACCACAGCTTCACAAGTAAAACGAACACAAAAAGATGGGTCATCTGTGAAGTCACTTGCCCATTTGCGATTGCTGATTACAACAAATCTATGGGAGGAGTAGACAAGGCAGACATGCTTTGTATTATCCATGGTTTAAATAGGAAATCTCAAAAATGGTGGCACAAACTGTTTTGGGGTCTTCTTAACAGAACTCTTATAATTGCCATGATTGTTTACAATGAAATAACTGGCCTAAAAGTGTCAACCCTCAATTTTAGGTGTGATGTTGTTCGGGCTTTAATAACTTTGTCTCGTTTACCTCGGATAGGTCGACCTTTGGGAGCATCTCCTTTACTTAAAATCAAACGAAGAAAGGTACATTACTCTGTTGGTGAGGTTATACGGTTAAATAATGTTGGGATACATAATGTAATGTTTTCCGAAAATCGTGGTCGATGTGAGGTTTGTTCCAAGATAAACGTCGAATCTCGCCCTCACAGTAAATGTGTTACGTGTAACGTATTTTTGTGTTGTAATAAATCAAAAAATTGTTTTCTAGACTTCCATGGCGTTGTCGTAAATTAATTACATATTTCAATTTAAGGTGAATTTAACTATGAATTGATTCAAATTGTATTTCAATTTAAGATGAATTTAACTATGAATTATTATAGATTCAAATTGTTCGGAAAACATAATTTTCTTTGTTTGAAATGTCGTTTTAAGGTTGCTTATTAAACTTATGGTGAAAATAAAGATTTCGTACTGAATATAATTTACCCCTTTACCGTCCGTCGGGACGTACAAGTCCCACCCCGTACCCTTCAGCAAAATTTGCAAAACTTAAAAATAATTTTGTGGATACCCTAACCAAAGCCAAACCAACTATAAAATATCATAAAAAAAGAAATTATTTTAAAACTTAACCACTTGGGCCTCAAAGGGTTAAAGGATAAGTGGAGGTGTGGAGATGTGGACAGGGGCTAAGTAAAGTGTGTGCTATGGCGCGCTTTACGTCATGGCTTAGAGCTTTTGCGACCCCTACCCTCTTCCAAATGGACAGAATTACTTGCAGGTTCCAATATGTAACTTAACTTCATAATCCTATACTATGTAAAATGAAAATCGAGTCTACTGTCTGAACCTTCCGAATTTTTAAACGGATTTCTTCGATTAAACTATTTAACTTTGGTCAATATAAACTTACCTGTGTGTTTGAGATCAACTCCGGTTAAAGAAAAACCATTGCACAATTACATATCTCAACGAATAAAAAAGTTCTCACTTGACAAATTGAACTCCCACAAACTTTTTGACATGTGCAATAACAAAATGGAACCCGGTTAAGTCACTCTTCGGGAAAGATTCCGTATAAAGGGGTGACAGCATGCCACATCGAAACGGTTTGCGGTACTCTACGACAATTCAAGCTATAAGCTATTAGTCTCGGCTAGGTATTGAGTTTGGGCGTTCACACATATAACTGCCCGTATTTCGTTATAATTGTTTTACATTTCAGTAAAATCCCTGCAAAGTTTATAGATTTTCTTTTGAAATATTTTGTTTTAATTATTTGATTAGTCGGATCGGAGAATTTTCTTTTGAACATAAATGCGGCACAAAAACAATGACATTTGTTTAACGGGTTTTAAATTGTACCCGTGTTTTTAATTTTAAATTTTATGCAAAAGTCTAACGCCTTCAATAGTAAGTGCGCAGGAAGACCTCAATAGACGCAAAACAAAACTGGTAAGATAAACCTGCGGACAAGACAGACATAGCAAGAAATAAAGAACAAATATCAAATCAATTGAATATATCCGTGGGTCAGTCGTAAACGTAAGGAATTGTATTTGAATTAAGTATCTGGAATATAGAATATATTGGCCCCTTCTATACAGAATGTGGATAGTTTCCCTGATTACACTACAGTCCAAACTTTCGAATCGGTAAGTAAAGGTACGCTTATTACGGGGTCTTACAGGTTTTTTGGCATTAAAAACACAGTCATTAGACACTTTCAGGGCTGCCGTAACACGCTTGAAAGTGTTATTAAAACGGTTGTCATTGCATTGAAAGAATGATATCAAATTGATGATACACTAGGAAACTTCGGACGTGAATATCATGTTCTTTGTTAAAATAGTTATAAGATAGGGCAGTTTTAGTTGATATTGACTTTGTATATATTGATATTTATTGTGAATAAAATTGGGTAGACTGACCATCAATACTTTCAATATAAAACTTCTATGCAATTGCCTTCAGTTGATATTTTTCGTCGCGAAAACCAAAACGATCGAAATGATCGCGATTCGTCTTCAATGCGACACGTGGTTGTCAAACTCTATGTCAAAGTTAAACCATCACGTGACGAAAGTCATCTTGTCTTACACTCAGTCGAAAATTTAAGGGCAAGATAAAGTGACACCATCTTGTTGCAAACTAGTCTCGACACCAACAAGGCTGAACATATTATTTTCCAACACAGATTATAGGTCCTTGGATACAAATGCCCAAAATATTACTCACAATACACTATTAGACTGCCAATACCCTTTAAATCGTACACCCGCGTGTTATCATGTAAACGAACGTTTCAATTTTATCACTTTCGTCCCCAATCGCGGTTACATCTACAGACAAAACGATAAAAGTTGGGGACAGCTATTATCTCTCTATTAATACTCTGATCTGTGTAGTATTATATTTTGAATTTGAACAACTGCGGAATACGATTAATTCATATCAAAATACAAATGAGGTGATTTGATAATATTAAAAAATAAATTATTCACGAACTTAATGTCGTAATCAGCACTTCCGTTGAGCGGAAATTCAACACAGAAAGGTAAGTAAAGATGCAGTAAATACTTTTAGACTTATACTATCACAATTATCGATAAATCAGGTGTTAAATCGTAATATTATAGACTATTGGCCATCATTTGCAAAAACTGCCACATTATTCATATGGAGCGTTCTATAAATTAATGAAAACAGAACTGACAAAATCTAAGCTATCATGGTTGTCGTTGTCAAGTGTTGGTAAATGTTAACAAATAGGCTTGTTTCTAAATTTTGGATAGATTTTTATTCATTTATGTTAAAATAATAAGCATATTTAGGGTTTGGTATAGAATTTGTTACCTAAATATAATTTTTGTATGGCAAATTCTTTTCTATGGAGTACCATTTGTAACACATCATATATTCCAACCAAACATCATTTGATGCAATATTTAGTATTTGCCATATAGAACCGAAATATTTCATCCAGATATTGTTTATGATGGTACTTCATACAAATGTCTGAAAGTAGTCCCTTGGAAAAAATGGAGGATATTTGGAAAAAAAAGATTGATCATATGTGCTAACAAAAAGATAGTTTTCAAAATTTGAAGTCTGGATGGTTGTAGTGTATATTTTCAGGAATCTGTGTGAGACTTTGTGATTTCCTATGTTGTGTTGTTTACCCTGTAGCTGCACAGTGCTGAATGGTATATTTGCTTTATATTTTCCAAAGTTACAAATTCCAAAGTCATTATTTGATCGTCAACAATTTTTCATTTAGATACCAAAATACAGGTACTAAAGCTGTTGTGAATAATATTTTGAGGACCCGCCATTTTTGAAGTTGTGACATTTTTTGGCCTTAAGTAAACACGTGAATTTTTTCAAGAGAGAACTGTTTTATTCGTTGGGATATTTATTTGTGCAATGGGTTTTATTTAACTGGCGTTCATTACAAACACACAGGTGAGTTTATATTTTATAATAACCAAAGTTAAATAGTTTGTTCATAATCGAAGAAATCCGTTTAAAAAATAGGAAGGTTAGAACAGTAGTATGTTCCACACAGCCCAACTTTTTTCGGCGCCGGGTGGGAGACATCCCACCCCCCTCCTCGGAACAATATAAATATTAGATGATGTTCCGAATGCATGTGGTACCACATCCTGTTTCATACAAGATTGAAACCGTGATCCATTTATCCCGGTCACAATTTAGGGAATTTAAAAGAGACCCTGCTAAAGATTTCATAGAAATTTATGGATGTTGCCAGCCTGTGTTGACCATATACTTATATCGTTTACAATGGATGCCGAATCACCACACTATCGTATATAATGAATAGAATTGAACCATATTCGTCTGAAATATGTTTTGCTGTCTAACCCATTCTTGGTTTTTGAATTTAAACAATATTTTATTCGAGATATCAAAATGTTATTGGGGAACAGTTGTAGTCTTATGTAAAACAAACATTCATGCTAGTTCTAATATAGAAGCTGTTAATCGTATTGGGATAGGGATCTGAAAGGTATTAAGTCTGTTTCTCGATCTACGATGCATTTATTGTGCATAAAATATCTCAGAATAAAAATAATTTTAGCCTTAGAAGACTTTAAACATTATATTATTATATGTATTATATGTAGAATCACCGGTAACAGAGAAATCCTGACGTTAAAACAGTACCAATATCCCATATTTACAGCCCTTTCTGATAAAATAACGTGATATTTTCTTCTAAAAATCAGATTGTATTAAATTACTGATAATAATAAAATAGCCTTACCATTACACGACAGTAAACAGAACAGAAAAACCTGTAAATATAAAAAAAATATAGGGACTGCTCTCTTGATTACCAATATAATACTATAGGGTTTTCACGTTAAGAATACACTGTTCTGTTTAGTGTATTTGGGGCATTACCTACAAATGGTCGACAGACAGATTCGGGTAAACATATGTCATAATGCTGAACTTGAATTGGTAATAATATATTGCTGTACATACAGATATAATACTGTCATTTTTTAATACAATTAATTGCCTTCATGCTCTTGGCAAGTATGTCCTGGAAATAAACGACTTCAGTTACAGCTAATGTTTAGAAAAATGGACACTCAAGTAAAAAGTACCTGGTTAGTCCTGGGATCAGTCTCTGACGCATACAACTAAGGGTGCCTTCCCCGCCCAATACCCCAAAACGGGGCCATAAAATGACATTATGGAGGCACAATGAACCTACATAACTTGGCCAGAAAGATGGCGACCATCAATCACAATTAAAATGTTCAAATCGACGAATCTTATAGTGTATTTCGGGAACTTCACTTTGCCCGGCCCGTATGCGGATCACATCACATGAAAGCAAAACATATCTTACGTATATTTTATTTAGTTAAAGATAGAACTCCGCTGGCTTCAATCCAAAGAAGTGTCACCATGTCAGGCGAACCCCGCGTAGGCCGAACAGTTCACCAATAGATCCGCCCTTCACCAAATAAATACCTGTTAACGGATTGAAACACATTTCGGCAACTAACTATAAACTGAAACCCATAAAAGTCATTTGTTAAAGACGCTGATTATCATTCGCAGTTTTTTAGATATTATTTAATTGGTCACGCTAAAGTGTAATCGAATTGAGTTTTTAACATTTAATTTAGAAAACAAAAACTTGATACCAGTCTCACTCGGACTGGACAAACGATCAACGTCTCAAATGGTCATCGATTTCTCCTGTCTGAATTCAAGAAGATTAAACAATAATGGATGCCTGATCTTGAAAAATAATGAAAATAATGAACCATTTCCGAGTGTTAATATTCGTAGAGAATCAGTTTTGGCAATGCTGCAATTCAAAATCCCTTCAAATGGTGACCAGGGACTTTACATGGACAGAATTATATAAAAACACGACTTACATGTATAGTAGTATACTTAAACATCATCACCAGGCCAGTTGAACAGGTGCTTCAATAGATGTTAAATTCGAGGCAAACTTCTTTTAAGTGCTGAATTAAACAATGATTCTCCTACTTTTAATTATGGGCATTGTTCTGCGTTACTTAAATATTGACCAAAATATGAAGTATTGGGTCCTCCAGCAGATTAGTGATATAGATATTAATATATTTACGTTGATTAATATTTACCAAATATTCTATAAGTGAAATACTATCAAGCAAATACAAAGAAACGTTAACACCGTCATCAAACAATGA